AGTGTGGAGAGGTGAATCCAACAGAGATCGGTCTCAACATATTCTCCATACGGCAAATTACATTTCTTTCAATCGTTTATAGATAGTAAATGAAAATTAATTTCAGCTTACTATCAGTGAATCACCTTCAATGCTAAAAATATGGGTCAAAATCAATTAAAAATTCAAAGCACGCAGTCAAAAATCTACTTGACTAAAAGTCAAAAAGTATCGACATACTCAAGTATTCAAGACCTAATCAGTTTAGGTTTACGTTATTAAATATTATTTAAATATTCTGCTAACTCAGGCAAATCTGGAGTTTACCTTTCTGAGTAGCTAATGTTTAGTAACCTTATTGGAATGAATGAGGTGGAGTTAGCAACAAAAACAAAACTAGCTAGCAATTTAATCTGAAGTCTAACGTACCTTAACGTGCTTCTTTGGATCCGTTGACGAATGAAGTATTCCGTGTTTACATGGGAGACATGTCATCCTATATGAATCACTGGTGAGTCCATCTGAAGAGAATGCTAGCTCAAAGAGCAGCTAATACAGTTTCATTTAACAATAAGTAACATTTGACTTGATGTATTCAAAAATGATAAGTAAGAATACAACTGATTTGTGAAGCGATCAGGAAAGAAAGACAAATATTAAAGAATGATTAGGAATTACTTTAGGAAGAGTACAAGTATTCACTTTCAACACACACACACAACCTCAATTCTGAAGTTGGGACAGTATGAAATATGAAAAAAACAAACAAAATGGTCATTTGGAAATTCTAAAGCTTAGTTAAGCCTTAACTTGTATCTGTGGATGCAGCGGCGAATGGTGTCGACTGACGAAGGTTTACCAAAGTATTCCCGAGCCCAAGTCTGGATCTCCATTACAGACTCATGATGGTTTTTAAGATGGTGACGTCTGAGGGAGCGGAGTTCACGCGCATTCAGAAGTGGTTTTCGGCCTCGCCCTTTACACACAGAGATTTGACCAGATTCCTCGAATCATTTAAGTATATTGTGCACTGTAGAAGGTGAAACATAAAAAATTCTACTGATTAGTCTTTGGGGAATGTTCTTCTCAAAGTGTCGGATTATTCGCTGACACATCTGGCAAGCCTCAACCCGTCCTTGCTCTTGAAGGTCTTTTTTGGAGGCTCGATAATCGATGATTAGATGATCGCCTCACCTGTTTCACATCACCTTCTTACTATTAGCCCTAAATTAGCCCTAAATTAGCCCCATGTCCAAACTTTTTTGGAATGTGTTGCATGCATCAATTTCCAAATGAACGTTTACCTTCAAAAATTATGCAGCTGATTCGGTAAAACATCAAATACCTCGTCTTTATAATACCTCGTTTTGTGTAAATACAAGTCGAAGTACATTTACACATCACTCCTCTGTGTTTTTATTAGCATTTTCCATACTGTCCCAACTTTTTCGGAATTGGGGTTGTATATATGTACAAATGACGTCAGTAAATGCTCTTTCCTGGTCAGGATCATGATGAATCTGGAGTCTAGCTTATCTTGGGAAACCTAGGCACGGCACAGGAATCCATCCTGGATGGGACACTCATTCACACCTAGGGGCAATTTAGCCTAGCTAATCTACCCACTAGAATGTTTTGAGGAAGAAAACAGAGAATGGAATTTGGGAGAACATATAAAACTTCATACAGACAAAAACCTGAGCTCAGGATTGAACCAGGATTCCTGTGATGTAATCTCATGAACATGAAGATGGATCAGACAAACAATTCCCATATGCAATTCCCCACTGTGAGATCACCTGCTACAAGAAATAGCTTAGATATTGCTGAATAAATTAGGGATTATTTGGCGTAGAGACTGCGTCTTGTTGCAAAGAGCCGAGTGCAAATCTACTTGCTTCAAAAAAAAAAAAAAGCCTGGATTACAAACAAGCACTATTATTTCTCTGTTGTTTCATTTTCAATATGGATATAGTATATATAGCAGGATTTATCCATTTTCTCCAATGTCTTACTTTTTTTTTTTCCCAAGCAAGCACCAGACACACGTAACACAATAGCCACAAATAAATCACCACCATGGACCTCTGAAAGTTCAGCACAAGTAAAAAAATAAATCTGATTATTTTTAATCGCATGGGAATCTTCATATTTTGCTTAATGAACTTTTTGGTTTATCATTTCAAGAAGTAGGGATGGAATGTTATTCTTTATAAATGTACTATATAATGTAATGTAAATGTAAATGTACATTATAACTGTAATGAACTATAAATGTATTTTTTTAATGTTTAAATGAACAAAATCAAATTAAATGCTTAACTCATTATTTATACATTATATTCTAGCGTTCAGCATTTTCCCCAGCTCAGACGCGTCTGTGTCCCATGAGAACGTGTCGATACGACCGTCCTCATATCCTCATTTTCTTTCGACGGTGTTCCTCCTGATAATATTTCTGTTTTGTGCTTCCTCTCCGACACAACCTTCATTCCAGCTGGGTTCATATCATCGTAATCGAATAACATCATCCAGGAGTTGAGTAACACAAGATCTTCCACTGCTGCCACCAGTCATTTTACCCCCATACTATTACCTCCTGCCTCAGCTGGAGACGAGATTAAGAGCTGATGTTCAACAAGCCCCGATTTTCAGATAGCGACACTTGGCTGGAATGAAGAGGAGCGAGACGCATTGCTTACCTGCACCACCTGGGCAAGTGATATATAGGATATAGTCACCTGGAAACCAATGGACTGGCGCTGTGGTGTTCATTGGTGTTGTTTTTATTTTCTATTTTATTTCATATGACTCAGGGTGGCCGGGTTGTTTCCCATCCATCAGATTTAAACAAAGCACTGTTGATGATATGAGATCAGAAAATGATGAAGAGAATATACCGCCCACAATTTCTTATGTCAATCTGACTGACAGAGGAGAGAGAGAGACACAGAACGCTCAACCAATGACACTGACTCCCAGGGATGGTTGCTGCATTGCAATTATCATCTCCTGGTGATAGTGCTTTCCTGTTGTGCCACTCCGTCACTATTTGAAATCAAACGGCTTGATTTTTGAATACATTTCTCAGCCTTAGAACTAAACATAATCATGAAAAGTGAATAAGTGTACATCATAAGAAAAAAAAACAAAACATGCTAATTGTTAAACACTCACAAGACAAGTTTGAGATATATAGTGTTTCTGTAGCTTTGAAATTCTCGCTGGTGACGTAAGCAATGGGCCAGGTGAAGCCCACTCATCCCGAGTCGTCCAGGGGTAAAACAAAAACAAACAAACAACAAAAAAAACAACATTTTTTTTCAAATCTTTTTTGCTCTTTTGAGGCACCTTGCTAGGTTCAGAGCATCACTCATAAGCTCTCTTCATATCTTACTTGGATTTTCTTCTCACTTGCTCATACGGATGCTGTGTGTGTCTGAAGGGTAGACTATCCTTGAAACGAAGTAAGAGAGAAAGAACCGACGCACTACAGTACCCATAAATAATACATGCACGAGAGTCAACACTAATCTCACATTTCTCAAATTCCTAATAAGGGGCTTACAAGGTGCGGCGTGCTGGGCTTTCGACGTTGGCAGAGCTGTGTTCTGAGTGCCTGCTGTTCAGCGGCCGTACATGCTCTCGCTAGCTCAATTACAGTTGGTGCTTGTGTGAGGCGGGAGGCTGAAACGTGAACGGAGGCTTCTGAAACACCGATGGGGCCGCGGTAATAACTCTAACTCCCCTCCATGATTATTCTTTAATCTCCTGTTGACTTAGATCCACACTGAGCCAAAACTGAAAGGAATATCTGAATAATAAGCAGCAGATCTCAAGATCTCTCTCTCTCTCTCTCTTTCTCTCACTCCCCCCCCCTCTCTCTCTCTCTCTTTCTCTCTCTCTCTCTCTCTCTCTCTCTCTCTCTCTTTCTCTCTCTCTCTCTTCTGCTTAACAATACATTTAAAATGGTTTCATTCAGTTCCCTGTTGTTATTACAGACGAAAAAGCCTGATAGCTCTTGTGAATTTCCTGAAATTGGGTTATGAATGGCCGTAGTAACAACACTAGCCACAATTATAGTCAATTTACATTTTCCAATTATCCGAAAAAGCTACTTGACCTAAAACTTGATGAGTGTCAAAAGAAGCTGAGACCAATTAAGCATGGAGGTGGTGCGCACTTCACATCTCTCACTCTATCTCTGGCTGTCTGTTTTTTCTCTCTTTGACTCTTATCCATCGAGCACCACTTTACCATTTTAAATCAGATCAGAACTCAGTTCAACTCACCAGAACTTCACCAATTCCCACTCCGATAACAGCTGTATTATCTGCGCAGCACATGGAATAAAATGGCGTGGCGTGCTGTTATAGGAAAATAATCAACAACGGTTGGAGTGATGAATCAGACGTAGTTACCAACCCAAAGCATTTTATTGCTCTTAGACCATAGCACAATTGCTAAAATTAAATTAAAATTCAATTTAATTAAAATTAAAATTTAAGAAATTTAGATTCAACCACTCAATCTGATTTTTTTTTATCCATTTATTGTTACGTTTAATGTTGTGGTTTAATGTCCAGCAGACAAGTCTCATTATCGCAGCTATATAAAACAGTTCCCTCACCAGGCTAGGTTTTTTTTGACTCTCTCAAAGTCAATAAGACAAAACAAAAACCAAAAAACCTCACACAGTTTGTCACGTCTCAGTCTTGAAAAGTTGTCAGAAAATTTACAGCTTTAGATCTGACTGTTGCACCACGCAGACATCGGAAACAAACGTCTCCTCACAGAAAACGACACGATTTCAACCGTTACATGCGTTTCTTAATCTGTTTACGTGGAGCGCCTTGCTGTACAAGTCCCTGTGAATGAGCTGGTACTATAGAAATGATCTTGTATTAGAACGAGAGCGTTAATATAAAGCCATGTTTTGTAGCTCCACTACAGTATAGTCAGAACTGCAGTTAAAGCAAATTAATCAACTCAACAAGAATTCAATATTGTTCCATGGAGGAGGTGTGGTGGCTTAATGGTTAGCATATTTGGCTCATATCTCTGGGGTTTTGGGATCGAGTCCCATCTCCACTCTGAAAGTTTCTCCCTGTGCTTTGGGGGTTTTGTCTGGCTACTCCGGTTTCCTCCCCCAGTCCAAAGACATGCGTTGTCTCTTGATCCCCTGATCAGCATTTCAAATTGTCTGTAGTGGATGAATGTGTGTGTGGTTGTGTCCTGCGATGAGTTGTCTTGTGCCCCGCGTCCCCTGGGATAGGCTCCAGGCTCCCCCGTGCCCCTGTGTAGGAAAAATTACTGCATGGCATTGTTCCATGGAAATTTTAACTGGGCTAGCAAAAAAACAACTTTTAAAAGTGCTGTATGAGCGAACCATCGCAGCATCTGGAATCTCAGGTTTTCCTCATTGATTATGGATTGCTGTTCATATCTTAACCTTGGTCTCATTTTGAAGGATTGGAAACTCATCATTTTTCTGACTGTACAAAGTAGTTCATTCGGATGATTGGAAGAATTTCTGGTATTGAAGCATGGAGCTGCTTTCCACAGCTGGCACGCCAGAAATTTTAATAAATATCGACTCTTTGAAAAGCTTCATCCAGTAGGTTTTCTTTCTCCCTTTTAGAATGAAAGGGGTTGACACACTTATTTCCAAAACATGTCGCATTCCTGACATTTCACTAACAAAAACATAGACCTCTGACCTTATCGACTTACACTGGAGTCATAGCTCGTTAGCTGATTAGCTTGAAAGACTTTAGCTGCTAATCAAAGCTCTGAGCTCTCAGAGTAGAAATGTTCACTATTTCTCACACTGTGTTCTTCTGGCTCAAGCCGGAAGACGTCGACGTTGTCGTTCGTGGAACCTGTTGTTCCAGCATAGTGTGCTCCTGTTACCAAAGGGACTAAACTTTGGGTTTGACCTTCCACATTCTCCTCAGTTCCTGTCTCAGTTCTTCTCAAAGTCCTGCTCTCTGAATGTCACCATGCCATGTTTAAACTCCCACCCCCACTGTCTAAACATGGTAGAACCTCCATGACATCACTTACCTGTCATCAATATTTGTCAGAGTTGTGATGTCTTTTTATTTTCTCCATTTACCAATGCTTTCATGCGCTATGCTACCTACTATTTACATAGCTCAGGAATAACACACTCTGTGTCATGCAGTTATAGGAACATAATCAACAACAGGACCGTGCGATGATGAAGTCGAGTCAGTCGATGTTAACACCAGGAAGTCGATTTATTTTATATCTTTTATGTTTTCCCACAGAGTGGTTTTATTCTTTCGAAATTGCAAACGATTACAATTTGTGCTTTAGTACTTTTTATCCATTTTTAGCTACAGTTAATGTTGTAGATTCAACATCCATGCTGTGGGTCTTTCTGGTGATGGATAACCTACAGCTACACCGCGATGGTTACAAAGCGCTGACAATGGAGACTCCTTCCATAAATGTTCAATAAACATCTCCTTACAGAAAACTTCACCATCTCACCATATGATCAATATTATCGAAATGAAAATGTGTCAGAGCCACCATGTTTTGCCTTGCTATAACTCTAATTAACAAACAATTAAACTATTTAAAGTGCTAATAAATTCTTGCGTATTCTAGCAGTCATAATTATTTCAGTAAAATAGCCTGTAATAGTTATCAGGTTGTATATATATATATATATATATATATATATATATATATATATATATATATATATATATATATATATATATATATATATATATATATATATATATTAAAAAAGTATTTGCTCGCTTTCTTCAGATTGGATGACAGCTGGAATCTTTGGACTCATTAGCAGATAATCATGAAACAAAAAATTCAATTAAAAGGTGCTTCAAAAAATAAATGTAACCATGGCGACTGGGGAACAGTTGATTATTCTTTCATTTAGTGAAACATATTTAAAGAAAACTTCTGTGGGAAGTTCATAATGGTTGATAATCTCCTTCTTATCAAATGATATTTAGAGTGGCATTATTAGATGGAATGTAATATTTTTGGATTATATATATATATATATATATATATATATATATATATATATATATATATATATATATATATATATATATATATATATATATATATATTTATTTATTTATTTTTTGTATAATAAATTTAAGGTGAGATTAGGCGTGTTCCGCGCACTGTGCACTGTAATGCGGTTTCTGAAGGCAACCTCTATTGGCACGACGGTGTGTGAGACACGTGTACGCACCATTTCTCTGGGTAACTGCTCTCATTTCAATATTAATGCCTGGCACTTGTCAACACACACCACCGAGCTCGCCGGCGCCTGCACACACAGATGGCATCATCTGAAAGTAAAGATCAAAGACGGGAGAAATCCCATCCGTTCCACTCGCTCGGAGCGGGATACACACGCTTTAGGAGAGACGGAGACTGAAAGGTTCGGCTTTATGGTGAAAAAGAAAAGCTGAATTCTGGATCAGTGAGTCCCAGATGGTTGTGACAGATATGTTTATGATGACTGACAACTGAACAGAGAATTTGACATCCTTCTCTTCTCTCTCTCTCTCTCTCTCTGTATACACTCATCACCAAATTCACACACTTCCGAGCAGGAAATATGATTTTCCAGGACGTTAGGGTTTAAAGTATGAAAACTTCTTTCACTTGCTGATCTCATTAGCGAGTATACGTACATCAGACAGAAGCAGACATTTGTGTCATTCGCCGAACACATGCTTAGAATGTATACTCGAATATATAAATATAAAGTATTCTTACAGTATATAATATACAAGAAATGCATAAAAATAGATCATAAAAAAGGCTACATACCCTGTGTCTGATTGCGTTTGTTGTTGTTGTTGTTGTTAAGCAAAAGAAAACAAAACAAGATCAGTCAGCTCTTTTCCACCTTTAATGTGAAAAAAAATGTGCGTGTTAGTTAAGTATGAACGAAAGAAATCAGTGAAAGAAAGAAACAGGAAATTAAAAGAAAGGAAGGAAGTAAAAGGAAGAAAGAAAGAAAGAAAGAAAGAAAGAAAGAAAGAAAGAAAGAGGAAATTAGAACCACCAAGAAAGAAATGTGCGCACGGTGGCTTAGTGGTTAGCACGTTCGCCTCACACCTCCAGGGTCCGGGGTTTGATTCCTGCCGGGGCCATGTGTGTGCGGAGTTTGCCTGTGTTGTGGGGGTTTCCTCTGGGTCCTCTGGTTTCCTCCCCCAGTCTAAAGACATGCATGGTAGGCTGATTGGTGTGTCTAAATTTTCCGTAGTATGTGATTGTGCCCTGCGATGGACTGGCACCCTGTCCTGGGTGTACCCTGCCTTGTGCCCGATGCCCCCTGGGATAGGCTCCAGGTTCCCTGTGACCCTGAAGAAGATGGATGGATGGAGAAAGAAATGCATAAAAATATGTCATATATAAAAACATGCTTATATATTACATTACACAATGAATATAAAAAGTCTATGTCTGATTGCGGTTGTTGTTGTTAAACAAAACAAAACAAGATCAGTCATGTCAGCTCTTTTCCAACTTTAATGTGAAGAAAAAACATGCATGTTAGTTATGTGTGTGTGTGTGCATCTCTTGTATTGCACCTTTTCATTGTGCATTACAGCAATCGATCTTCTTGATTTAGCAATTTTATTCCACTCTACTTCACAAAAATGCTCCAGATTCATAAGATCACCTGTACACAGCACTCTTCAAGTCATTCCGCAGGTGTGCGATAGGATTTTGGCCATGATTTCCTATATCTTGACTAGCCCAAGCTGAAGAGCAGCAGTTCTTTGGCATGATGCTGAGACCACCATGATTCACTGTATGGATGGTGCTCATTGGGTGTGTTTTCTTTTTTTTTTGCACCAAGGAGATCTTTTAGAATTACGTCCTAAATACTCTTCCTTGTTCTCATCAGACTTTTACAGCATTTTGTAGACACCCTTATCCAGAGCAACTTACATTTATCCAACTGAGCAGTTGAGGGTTAACGCCTTAAGGGCCCAACAGTGGTGAATTAGCAGTCTTGGGGCTTGAACTCCTGACCTTCTGATCAGTAACCTAGAACCTTTAACCACTGCCCCACCATAACACGTATTTTACCACATTTGATGTTTGTTGTGATTTAGGCAAGCTTAGGTTTATTTATTTGTTTAATTTTTCCCCCCTTGAGAAAGGTCTTCCATCTAACCACTCTAACCGATGAACCAGAGATGTAGGTTAAGAAGAAGAATCAAGAGATGGCTGTTACATGCAGAGAGTGAGCAGTACTCGCCAGATGTTCCTGCAGTTCCTTGGTGATGTCACTGTGGTGCCCCATTTTCTCCACTTGTTGAAGATGGCCTTCATGGTGTTCCACACGGTGGTACATCTAATATTTTGGAAAGTCTTTTGTACGCCTGATCGGTACCTTTGACAATGAGATCCCATACATTCATTGTATCATTTATGGCGTAAGCAGTCGGATGAAACAAAGATATGTCAAGAAAACCGTACAGAAACAGCTGATCTTTATTTTGTTTTAATCAGAATCACGTCATTGATGACTATTTGATGACACGTCGTTGATGATTAGTTTTGATCATGAGTTTGAAAGTAATTCTCAACAATTCATCTTTCGTTCTTTTTTTCTTTCTTTCTTTATTAGTTAGATAGTTTGTATTGTATCCTTAAAAAGTCTAATGTGCTAAACTAAACAAAAAAGTGTAGATGATTACTCCAAAGAACCTTTGAGGAACCCTTCTGTCTACGGGGCGTACAGTAAAACAAAACCATGAAAACTTCAATTCTGCAAGGTTTCTCAAGCGGTTCAACTTAAGGGTGAAAATTGTGTAGGGTTCCTCAACAGAGGAACAACCTGAGGAACCCTAAACATTGTCTATATCTAATACATTTTGTTCCTCTATAATTCTGAGTATTTATCCCCATTTATTACTTCACTTCAGCAGTCTGGTCGTCTGTGTAATAATATCCGACTGTCTCTCGTTGTGACCTCTTACCTCGGTCTTTATGAATATAGATTTCCCCGAGCTGACCCCTGATCTGACCCGTGTGCTTGTTTATGCCCTGATTAA